TTTCCCTAGAAAATAACTTCCTGTTAAAACTGAGAGAGAGAAATTTTGGGGTATTTTGGTCAATTTTGGTCAATTTGGGGGCAAAAAGTAGGTGGTTTTATCTCCTCTTTTGAAGATTTATATGTTGGTCAGAGATCAGAGAGAAATATGCTTAAAACATAGTACTATCAATGAAGAAAGGACATCTCAGAACTGTCTCCAACGCAGTGAGCCCTTTGTAGTTTTCCACGGCAGAGACCAGAACCAGCTGAGGAAGATGGTAGCTCTGGGTGATGTTAACGTAATCTTGACCTATCTATCTTCTCTGCCTTTCCAATCACTAGAGTAATGTTTTTTCAGTATCAGGGTGGGGGGAAACTCCAAACTTTGTTTTATCACAGTTGCCATTTCCTGTAGAGAATTTTAGAAGCCCATGGAGAAACAGAGACTACTGATCGTCAGTGAATTGTATGAAGATGAACTTTGCAGCCGATAGCATTAAAATGACTCAGTTATTCCTTTGTTTCCTAATAAAAGCAGACTGCCCTATGATGAGCTAAAGGCAGAAAGATTTAAAATGGAGAAGTGATTATATTTCTCCATTCCGGTGTAAAACCAGCCTTTGTAATATGCAATAATAGGCACTCTCAGAAACAAGCATTGGGTTTATAAACAGACGAGAAAGTTTTATGGTCACTTCCAACATTTGTAAGCATATACATTAAGGCAATGATTTACTGTCATTCTCCCACAGGACTCAAGAAGAAATGGAAAGAAATGATACTAAAAATAATAAAGCTGATATCCTCCCCTGATTCTCTTGATGATACCCCTGTGATGTAGTTTTGCATCCAGGACAGGAGCAACCACCTCAAACTCAAGTCAGCAGGAGCCGTTCTATTGAAAGCTGTATTTAACCTTTATTCACTAACAGCATGAAAAGGAAACTAACTGCTTCCAGAAGTTACTAAAAGGTAGTGTCCTGATGGACTCACATAAGCAGGTGTTTTTTCTTTGATATGCTGAGAAAAATCCATCTAACAAGTTAAATGGATTTTATATGACTAAACTTTAAAAAATGGAAAGTCACTGTAATTATAATTTCTACAGCCTGCTGCATTCTCCAGTGTACAAGCATCTCTGACAACTGTCTGGTTAGGAGTGTAGTTGGAGTTGTACACTTCTCACCTGAGTTTGTTGCTACTTGCTGAAATGCATGCTATCTATTGCTTCTTGTTTATCCATTCTCATCCAGACAGGACTGAGGAACTAATGACCTCAGGGTAGTTTATTTTACAATTTTGGAGTCAGGAGGGAAATATCAAGAGGGCATATTTGAGTGGAAGCCAGAGGAGGCAATGTAGACTAAACCATTCAAAAAACCTTGACCATGAAGACTAGACCACATGTGCATATCCAAGATAGTTCAGACAGAGACAATTCGGATACTCAGTTACGCTCAGATATATTCTGGATCAGATATATTCTGGATCAGATGACCCAAACATTTCAGACTACCCTACACTTTCATATAATTTAATCCATTTAAAACCCATCCTTCTATTTGGATCCACCTTAAATTTGTTGCCACTACAAAACTCCAAACTCCAATGATGCTTCTAGCATCAGTGCAATTGCTCATAAGAGTAAGCACCACAGTAGTAGTTCTTGTCGAAATAATCCTTTATTTTTAATGCATGCGTTTGCTTTGCTTGTTATTGGGCATTGATTCTTCAATGCCATTGAAGAAAAATACCTGCAGTGATGTAATGGATTCTGATGGTTTGGAGACCAAGCAATTATCCAAACTATCTGCAAATTATGACATGGAAAATTACAGTATTTAAGACAGCTGAAAATAACTCACCGGATAGGTCACATTCTATGCTGGCTAAATTCAACAATAAACCAGAACAAAATAAAATGTAATCTCCTTTCCCACAAAATTATACAGTACAAACTGATAACTGTGTTTTAGAGCTATTACTCTAGTAGCTCTTTCAGAATGCTAAGATTAACAGTTTTCAAGAGTATGTTTGTAAGTGTAATGCTAGATCTTTACCTAGTATAAACTGGTGTAGCTCTGCTGAAACCAATAGAAACACACCTTCTTAAAACTTTAAATACTGGGAGTGTCTTTCTGATCTGAAATAGAGGAATCCAGTAACTTTATCTTGTGTGAAAACAGGTCAATGTCCAATTTTAATCTTAATCAAGCAGTGCTTTACCTATCTTTTGGTATTAATGCTTTTTTTTATAAAAGATCTGTTTTCTGCATATGCAGTGATGGTTTGATGTTTGTGCAGTTCTAAACGCAAATTCGCAGCAGAAGGTAATTGGAAGTTGGAAGATGTTCTTAGTTATTCTTTTTGGTTTTAACTGGGTAACTGGCAGACAGTCAGCAGCTTCTCGGCACTTTGAAATGAAACATACACTGGCAAAATACTGCTAATTTTACTCTGTGGAATCCAAGGAAAGGAAAAAACAGGAAATTCAAATACAACTAGCAGTGAAGCTTTGAACTGTTTGACTAATTTGTGAATATTTCAAATGCTTGGAACACACATGAACTACAAAAGGTCACAATTCCATGAAAAAGAGCAACCCAAACAAGAACAATTTCCTGGTTTGGGATTTCTCAACCAAATACAATTGCAAATGAAATGTCTTCCCATGACCCTTTACAGTAACCATGGACATTATGTTCTTTTCTATTTTTAGAATAAGTAACATGAGGAGAGGAAGATTTAATTAACACATCTGTTTGAAGTTTTAGATACGCTGTTTTTTGAAAGTGCTTTTTATTGATTTATGCTTTCTTTTGCTGGGAAGGGAACAGATTTTAATCTGCTTAAATCCCCCTTTAAGTAAGGAGGAACAAAAAGAAAACCAATCATGAAAATGATGTATTTTCCTCAGCCAGTTTCAGAGTAGATCATTCCCTGCAAAAATCAGATAGCTAGGAAATCCAGGCAGTCCAAGTTCTCTGGCTCTGCACGTAGTCAAAACTTCCGTAAGTAACTGAGAACCCAAGCTGGTTCTGCAGCACGCTGAATTTTCACTGAAAGCACCTGGCTGGCTGAAGTCGTCAGGGAAACAGTAATGCAAAATATTTAAAATGAGATAGGGTTAATAAAAAGATAAAATGCAGTGATCAGGAATGGTAAAGCTATGATATAAAGGATTACTTAAACACTGCCTTACAGACCAACTCCAGACTAACTTAGGGCATATGAACAGTCTCCTTGAATTGATGGACTACTCATATGCTAAGCACTAAACATATACTTCAAATCTCTGCTAGGTAGAGTGCTAAGGGAATGCTTTATTTAAAAAAAAAATATTTTGAACCTACCTTTTTTGTTAAAATATTGAAATTGGAGGGGGGGGTGACACTTTTTTACACTGGACATTCAGGGCACTCTGCCACGAATCATGCTTAAATCCTCATCGCACCCGCTTTTGGCAGTAATATTTGCTTTTGGCTTTAGATTCTCATCTTCAGTTTCTTTACCTCAACTTCTTTAAAACAGGTTGCCTACTGATCCTGATCAACTGTGAAACACTGTGAACAGCATATCTTCACATAACATACCATGTAAATGCAGAACATTAAATTACTGAATATGAAATAAGCGTTATTGACAAACGGAGGATATAAAAGGATCAGACAAAAAGAGAAGTCCCAGGAAGCAGGCTGTTATATGTGAAGTTATATTTTTGTTTATATTTTTATATTTTATTTTTAAATAAAAATTTAATATAAATATTTGTATATAACATATAAAATATATATTTTATAAATATTTATATTTTACAAAACATTTTTATTTTTTATATTTTGGAAGGTATTCAAAACAAGGAGAGTAGCACGGAAGTGCATGCTCAGATGCTGGGGTTGTGTGGGCTCTGGATGGATAACATCATGCTTTCCTGAGCCTGTGAGAAGGCAGAAAACAGATGGCTTATGTATTTGGTAGCTCAAAAAGCTGGGGTATGGGCCACTGAGAAGTGGAGAATCAGATGAAAAGAGATGAAGGAGCTGTTATGCAAAATATTTCCCTTCTCTCCAGTGTATTACCATAAAACTAGAACCACACAGAAATTTTCTGGACAGCAGAACTCTGTTTCTGTTCCTGTGTCTACAAGCAGAGGCTTCCATTCACTCCTGAATGGGAGCAAACAGCAGATGAGATACCTTTCCACTGCTATGTTAATTTCTTATTCTGTTTAACAGCTTTTTCATTAAAGATTAGTGACCTAGAATCACAGTGCTAAGTAGAGGCACTTTGCATTTTAGAAACTAGATAGGCTTCTTTTAATAATATCACAGGCTTGTTTCCTAACATAATATTTGAGCTGTGGTATAGGCAGTGCACCAGCACAGAGGCAAACAGCCCTTGCAATGAGGAGCAGGGGAAAGGTCCTAAGGGCAAGCTACCCCTTTGCAAGCCACCCCCCTGCCACAGTTATGGTGCCCATACCTTTTTTAGAGGTGGAATTCCTTGTCAAGGATATCATCAAGGCTCATTTTGCTTTCATGCAGTATTCTCAGGAACCACACATTGCGATCTTTTGTTTAAAAGTCATTCTGCTTCAGCATGGTGGTCACTGGTTTTAGGTTAAAGGAACAACCTTTTCAAGGCTTCATGGCACAGTTCATTATATGCCCCCTCTGCCTTTCACTGCCTTTGGAGCAAATACAAAATAGCAGCTGTCTCCTGCAGTCTCCTGGAAAAGGCAAACCCCTCGAAAGACGACTGCAATAATTGCACAGCTGCATTACTATGCACCATGCTACTCACCTGTAATTATCCAGGAACACAAACACTTGTCAAATGAAATGATCTGTGGGGCATCTCATCTAGTTTTCTAATGTTGTCCAGGTGCCTACAGTATTCATCCTTGAACAATCAAAATGTCAAGGGATGCTTTACAAACCGCTGAACCATTCTCTAGGTGATACACTAAGCTGATGCACAGGTTCCCAGTCAATTTGTTAGGTATGGTTCACAGAACAAGTCCCAGTCAAGGTGCCCATAAATGCATGTGTAATGATTTTAGAAAGACTCAATACTTTTTCAGAAAATAATTTTGACTGGGTTAGTGAATAAAACCATCACATAGGGAGATGAAATGTCATCATCCAGAGCAAGTCAAATATCTGTCAAATATTTCCATACTTGTAAAACTGGGATAATTTTTCTCGTGTTTGTCCTGTCTGTCATTACCACAGGCTACTCAGAACTGGAGGTATCTCCCTTTTTGTGAGTATGTTCAACTCACAGTGAGGTCTCAGTTTGGGCAAGATCTCTCAGCATCGCTCTAAGACAGGTCACGATAATAGTGGTAGATCTGATGAGGAGTCTAGAAAATTGGGCTTAATCACAATTTTCAAAGTTAAAATCTCCCTCCAGCTCCACTAAGCTCCTGCAAAGGTTTGAGCTTTGGAAAGGCTGCATTTTTCCTTGCCAGAAAACAACTCATTCACTCTAGGTGATTAAGTGTTTTCCCATCCTGTTTCTCCAGCAAAAGTGCGTGAGTTGCAGCTCGATTGGTACATTAAGAAGAGGAATGATGGATATTTCACCAGTCACTGTAAGCTTTTTTTCGCTGTACTTTCCTCATTTGGGTAGTCTCGGGGAGTGCACATGATTCAATTTAACAGCTCCTCAACTGCTAAATGAAGCCAAGTTGACTATGCTAATGGTTTATATTTCCATACTGATCTCCATGCAAGCATTACAAGCAATTTCGGAAAAATCATGAATTACCTTCCTTATCAGGTCAGTGTTATTATCACCATTCCTCAGCTGGGGAAAGAAGGACAGTGAGGGGAAGTGATTGCCAGATGCCTTAGAGCATGTCTTCCCTGTGCACTGGAGAATGGCACAGGTTCTCCACACTAGCAGTGAGAAAGCTTCCAGGGTCAGACACAGTGACTGATACAGCATGCAGAAAGGGATGGTTTAGACCATACCATTATCCAAACATCCTTCTACCTTTGCTCCATGGATCCAATTAGCCATTAGCTAACTCAGTGTTAAATTCTGCTCTCCTGGAGGAATGAATGAGCATATGAGCCCTATAGGGGAAGAGAATCCCTTTCTCACCCCCTGGTGATAGGGCTACATAAATCTCAGAGCTATAGTAGGCTTGGTGGCTTTGCATTCCCTTAGCAGGGATAATTTTTGACAGTGAATCACTACAATTGTGGTGGGGTCCTAACTTCTCTCTCGCCATTGTAATTCCCCCTTCACTATAGCTCTCATCTGAGACTTTGTAACTCTCTTAATTTCAGCAATACAACCTTGAATAAGGACTGGCCAATTGATATGGATAGGAGTTTTGCAGGAACATCAACAATAGACTACACCTCAAGGCAGAAGAATCATGAAGTATATTCATAATAAATCATCTAATAAGTCAGCAGACAAAAAATAATCTGCTTTTCCAAGGAGGATCTTTTAGAAAAGAATAGTCCTGACATCCTAGGGCAGCATTACTCTTGCTTGCAGTATTTTTAATGTTTTCATCTGAATGATGTAATCATTTCTAAAAATTCAAATTAATTCTCTTATAAGCAAACATAATCAGCCATAAAAGCAGCTTGTTCCAGTGCCTGGGAACAGCCTTTGAAGGTCTTTGGTATGACTATTTAATGGTCTGGTAAGAGTTTTAAAGATGTATTTTTTCTTTTACCCCCTCAAGTAATTATTCATTTTTTTTCCCAAGTGGCTTATGGGTAATGATAGACAAGTTAATGTACAAATTTTTCTTTCGCAGAAGTCCCTTTAATAAAGGATTTACTGCCATGTAATTCTTGAAACATTTTCAGTTATTTAATCTCTTTGAAGGACTTGGGGACTGCATAGATGAGCTCAGCTGTACATTAGAGAGCAGACCCAAGCACAAACCTAAACATGAAAGACTCAGAAAATATGAATCTGTATCTTCCTCTGTCAGTCTGGTGTCAGTGAAAGTACTGTGATTAGCTAGAACTGCCTAGGCTGCCCAGAAAGTCTATTTTTTCTGTGGAACAGAGACAGTACAGGTGACATCGATATGCAGCCAAACTGGCTCAGGAGGACAAAGCATTTTATCCTCGGCTTCATGACTGAGACAGCTAAAAAATAAAAATAATGGAGTCTTGCAGTAGTTTCTCTGGTGGATGTTTGCCAATTTCCAAACAGCTTGAGACTGCAACCTTTTTAATTCAGACCACCAGGAAGCCTTCTTATAACTCTAACTGGATACAAACTCTGACAGTTCAGTGATACTATGTGTGAAGTGCGGGTTATCAATCAGCTGTGTGACCTATCCTGCTTCCCACACATCAGAGTGATGCATGTGGTGATAAGGTAGAAAATAAAAGCAATGTGACCAGAAGGAAGAAGGTAACAAAGAGAGGACAAAAAAAAATACCCAAATCTTTCCAAGTACATGTCTCTCAGTCGAAATTAGCATATGCAGGGAGCCCAGAGGTCACAGGGATATTTACCGGTTGCTGGACAGCCTGGCTAGGAGGGGTTCCAGCCAGCCCTTCTGACACTCGCAGTGTGAATCCATGAAGACGAGCACGTCCCCCGTCGCCCGTGCAGCTCCTAGCATCCGACCTCGGATGACTCCAAGCCTCTTGTTGCTCCGGATGAGTTTCACACCATCCAGCTTAGAGATGTATTCACTCAGAGCTGACTTTAGGGGCCCTGTCAGAAGCAGAATGGTCACAGAAATGTTTTAGCCTTGATTCAAGCTGTTACAGAAAAGCAACAGGTAGCAGGAGATGCTACTTCTTGCTGGTAAAATGTTTTGGGGGCATTTGTTTTACACAGCCAAGTGGGCCATGGTCCAAATATTCCCACAGAAGTGTAATGTCAAAGAGAAGTAGAGACTAACGGAAACTGAGATTCACTAGGTGTGAAGCTATTCCTGTGGGAAACTTCATAGCCTCCTCTCCTGTTTTCAGCAAAAGGTGGATTCTCTCATCATCTAATAAAAGGCGCAGATCAGAGTGAGGTACTACAGGTGTTTGGCTTTCCCAAGTGCTTTGGATGACTTTAGCAATGTGGAGTTTTCCACTCTATACTTCAGCCAAAGTCCAAGTCTGGAAATTATTACAGCAGATCTGGTCCAGTGGGAAGGCTAAGATTTGTATACTGTGATCTTATTTTAACATAAGAAAGTTCAGAGTGATTGGAAATGATGGGGAAAAAAGAAACATATTTCAAAGTTGAAAGGCTAAGCTGAATTCTAGGGATGGAAGAGTGAAACCTGGCAGCTAGCTCAAGACTGCTTAGCTCTCTTCCTCAGGGTCTTCTTTGCCTTCTGCTCTCCTCACACGCTTCCTGGAGGCGGACACTTTCTTCCCTGAAGCTTTGGACGAAAGAGCTCACATACAGAGAAATGGGGACTACCTTGCTGGCTGAGATCATCGACTAGGATGATATCCTTGAGGGAGGCCTTCGGGGCTGTGTCCATAATGCTGTGCACGGTTCTCAGCAGAGTAGACCAGGCTTCGTCATGGAAACAGATGATGACACTAGCAGTAGGCAGACTGGAGTCATATTCTTGCTGCAGGCATCTGCATGGGATCAAATGAGGGAGACACTAGAAACACTGATACAACTGGCTACTTATCTCTCAAAGTTGTAAGCTACACCTAAACCTTTAAGGATGGAATGCAGTTTAAGATATTGGCTCACTTCTAACGAAGCAAAGGAAGTATTAAGGTGTCCAAGACTGGAATACAAAGTGAAAATATGGGAATGACATTATAAAAATTAAAATGCAAAAATAGGAATGTTTTGCTGTATTCTGGGATACTTTCTTCTGCTCTGGCTGCTTGAAAATACACAGCTCAACAGAAATGGCCCAGAAGGCAAAGAAAGAGAAACTGAAGACAATTAGACAGAGCACAGCAGAGAGGGGGATAAAGCAGGTCAGTCAGCCTCCACCGATTTCCACATTTTCTCAAGTAACACAGAAAAGAGTAAACTGAAATGCAGTACCTTTAAGACTAACAGGTAAAATAATTCATCTGCACAACACATCAGTATACCTGTGGACTGCCTGACCAATGAATGAAGCCAACATCTCAGTTCTGTACAGGAAAGAAAGGGATACTTACATGGCCAATGAAAACAAATATAGATATATTCAAGAAAATAAATATATTTTCCCTATAAACTTTGTACAGATTGCTTTTTTTGAAGAAAATGAATCACGGATAAATGAGGCTCCCAGCTGGGTAGATTATGCCATTTTCTGCTATTTACAACTCCAGGTACTGACACAATCTACTGTAAGACACCTGACTGCAGGGGTCACTCTATGGCATTTCTAGAGACGCTCCAGAGTGCCAGCTGGGACCCATGGCTCCTCAGTTTTCCATGGGGCCAAGATTTCACACATGACATCGCAAAAATTTCCATCAAAATTACTATGAATTAGATGTTGCTTTGACAACTCAAGCATTTAAGAATGAAAAACACTTCCTATTCATCCTCACAGAAACTGTATATGAAAACTATAAACCCTCGTCAAACAATGGCTGTTTCATAAATGTAAGTAAAGGATCTACAAATCACATTCACAACAGTGTTTTCTGATGTACCAGTCTTGGTTCAGAGAGACAGGGCACACTATACTGGCATAATGAGGCACATTTTCCAGAAAAGGCCTTCAAATGTTCATTGTAGAGATGCAAAGACTGTGCCTATATATCTGCTTTGCTTACATTAGAAAACACATTTTAGAATTTTTTCCTTTCCTGAGGCACAGTCATCCAGTTTCCTAACTCATTTAATCTCTAGCAACAAGAACTTCTTCAAGGAATTACAGAATTGGCTGAATGTGGCCCATTGCTATTTCAGCATTTTTGTATTGCCAGGCAAATCATCGTACAGATTTTACAGTGGTTGTTGAACAATTAGCTACTCAGCAGAAGCTCATGTAAGGGATATAATTTTAATACTGCTATGTTTATTACCAATTTACTTGGTGCTTCTATTATGAACTGAAGCCCTATGATGCTAGACACTATCCAGACACAAAGCTGCTTATCATTTAAGAGAATCCATAGTCTGAATGATTTAATAACAAATACAAATAAATGAATACTATAGATACACTTCTGGGAATATACATTTAAAATGAGCACAATCATAATAATTTATTATAGTTTGTAATATTTCACATGAATATCTTTTTGTATAGGGAGGCAAATTTTTTTCATGATTTTTAAACGGTAACGAATCTATGTTGTCCTTGGTTTACTAATTTTCTGTAATCAACAAGGCTGTTATTTCACAATTTCATATGGGATAATTGTTTCCATTTTCAGCAGG